TTGAGAATTTTTGTAGCAAACACGTGATTGAGGACAAAACGTGTTAGAAGGACTCATGTTGGTTTGTGTTGATAGTTTTTACTCTTAGAAGCGAGGTGTCATGACCCAATTTTGAGGCTTTGAAAAACCAAATGGTGACTAAAAAGACGAAATTGAAAACAAACAAAAAGAAGAGAAAAGTAAAAGATAAAAATACCATTTAATTAAAACAAAATGGTTAAAAGTTTTGTTTCAAATTATTAAAAAGGAATTACAAATATAAAATGAAATACAAAAGACCCTCAAAGACTGACAAGAAACTGATGTTCCAGAACGACACCCCTCTGTGATAGTGCAAATCTTGAACACCTCCCCACCTCGACCAGTACCTGAAAAAAAAAAAAGAAGAGGAAACGGGGTGAGTATAAAAATATACTCAGTAAGCAGTCTACTTGTAGGCTCTTAATCGCATCCAAGTTTAGGAGAGAACCACAAATTATACTCTAGAGCCTAGAGTCTCAGTCCTCTCAGTACACAGTTTAGGGTTGAAGGACTTAACCTTTGAAGCGGTATTCAACGTTTGAGGATGAGGTGCTCCCTCATAACTACATGTACCACTCATACAACCCAGCTAGAATTAGTCACTGCATGGACAACGTCCTTCCACAGGACGGACCCATCATGCAGGCAACCTTCACCCACTCGCATGATCAACATCTTACCAGAAGATGGATCCCCATGCAAAGTTGTCGATCTACCACTGAGTAAAACTTCCTTAACAGGCATCTCGCCAAGCTCTACAGTATCACACTAGAGTAGGAAGAGAAGAGTAACACCTCCCTAATTGACGTCTCGCCTAGCTCAACGGTACCACACCGAAGTAGGAAGGGAAGAGTAACATCTCCCTAACTGGAGTCTCGCCTAGCTCAACGGTACCACATTGGAGTAAGAAGGGGAGGGTAACATCTCCCTAACTGGCGTCTCGCCTACCTCAACAGTACCACACTAGAGTAGGAAGGGAAGCGGAGCATACTCGAACGTTATACCAGATATTGTCGGCTAATAGGTCATCTCTCTACACCTTGGGGTCCTAATGTGGTTCTCTATACCACAAAGGTAATTAAAACTATTGAGTTAAGGGCCCTGGCTTCTAGATTCACTCAATCAAGAATTCAAAGTCCGTAATAGTCCAGGTTTAAAGGGTCTCTCCCTCTAAGCATCGCTCACAACACCATAGACGGTAACATAAGGAGGGTCCCCTAACTAAACCTAATTCAATCCCTACAGGAGTTCACCCTCGGCTTATCACAACACTACAGCTTATCAATCATATCGTAAGTTCACACAATCATTCAAAAGGAGTTTATGTATGATTAACAACATATACAGTCATACAAGCTCAACAGAACGATATCATCCATCAACACCCGGAGCGTAGATACACAAATCTCCAAGTCCACCAACATAGTATGAACAGATAAAAGTAGTAGAAAGATAGTCCAACAAGCATACAAACATCGAGTACGAAATCTCATAAAGGCAGCAAGTCCAACAAATATATATTTAACTTCATAAGTACAGAGGATCATTAGATCTACCTACCTAGGGATAATTCGCTCTAGCATGCATGCAAAACCATTGCACCCAACAAGTATTACTTCCTAAATTTGTATGGTTACGTACAAGTATGTTGCGTGCCTTCTCGAGCTTGATTACAGTCGTAACAGAGTCCAAAAAATACGAATTATCTATAGAGAGACCTAGTTCATAGTAAAATAGGATTAGCACTAGAATCAGGATGAAAAATGGGTGAAAATAGGGCACTCACGCGCCTGCAAGCGCTCATAAGGGGCTCCCACACGCCTGCACACTTCCCCACGTGCAGGGCGTACGCACGGTCAACGCAGGCAATGCGCGGGCAGAGGCGCATCTCGATCCCTAGCGGACGTAGATTTACCCCTTGAATTTTTTGGGCGTGACACGTTTCGAACAAGGACTTGTGGTAGGTTTCGGGTTGGACCGCAGGTCGTCGGGTTGCTTCACAGAGCGCGGGTCGAGTTTTTGGGTCACTAGTCTGACGCGTGTCAGCGGAGGCACCAGAAGTGTCTCTCCACCAGTTGCTTGATACGTGTCCTCCCGTTCCGGTGACCGCGTGTTCGTCGCCGATTGCCTGAGTTCATCCAATTTCAAGATTCTGGTCAAATTCTATATCAACCTATTTATTTTGGATTTTTCTATCTTCCAAACTGTAACTCGAATTAAATTGGTTCCTTCATAAGAATTCAAAATCTCAAGTCCGCCTATCCAGATATATTTTTATTGTATTTTTTTATACTCACAGTACTTAATAAATAAAGTCGAAAACTAAGAAAAATTCAGTTTCTTACCGAAGTAGGACGGTTTCTCGATTTTGTTTTCCTCTGAAAACTTACAAGACTCCTCACCTAAAGTATTGCAACTAGATTATTAAGGTTTAAATCATCTAAAACTCTTCGATTTATGGTGAAATCTTGAAACAAGAGAGATCGCGGACTCACCTCGCATTCTTGCCCGTTTCTTGCTGGAAACGAATGATCCAACGCTCAGACCACTCCTCTTGATACTCTGAGTAGCTCTAGTAGGAGACCTAAGATTGAGGGTGCTTCAATTTGGTTTTAGGGCATTTCTCCCTCTTCTCCCTCTTCTTCCTCTTCTTAAAAACCCTAACTATTCATTTCTTTCTCTCTCTATTTTTTATTATTTTTTTTATTCTTTTCTTTTTCTTTTCCCTTCTTCCAGGTCTAACGAGACCCCCTCAAAGTTATATGTATGGGGCAAAATTACCTTTTTCCCCATTGACTTTGATAAAAATTTCAATTACATTACCATTTTAAAATTTTTTTTTTTTTAAAGTTACTTGATGCATCACGAGCATTTCTTTCTTCTGCACTGATTTGAAAATAACACTCTAAGTTCTACAATAAAATCTAGAAACTCACAATGGTTAAGAAGGTGTTAATCACAAGGATAGAGCGAATTGTACCTGTTAGGCTTGGGGTGTTACAAATTCTCCCCTCCTTAAGAACTTTCGTCTCCGAAAGTTGGTTGTTCCAGAAAGAGTTTAAGGCAAGACTTCCTAACGTCATCCTCCCGCTCCCAGGTAGCCTCACTATCCAGATGATTACCCCACAAGACTTTGACAAGGGGAATCTCCTTGTTTCGCAATCGCTTGACATCTCGAGATATAATTTTGATTGGGGCCTCTTCGTAAGATAGATCCTCACGAAGCGGAAGTGCTTCGTCCTCAATGATGTGCGTGGGGTCTGGCGTGTACTTTCTCAACATGGATACATGAAATACGTTATGCACAGTGGCAACAGTGGGTGGCAACACCAACCTGTACGCTACAGCACCAATCCTCTTAAGGATTTCGAAGGGACCTACGAACCTAGGGCTAAGTTTACCCTTTTTCTCGAATCTTAACACTTTCACATGGGTGCTACCTTTAGGAAAACATGTTAGCCCACCGCAAACTCGATGTCCTTTCTTCGAGTGTCGACGTAACTCTTTTGTCAGCTTTGTGCAGTAAGTATCCTTGATCTGATTTTCTAGACTGCCGCGTTTGTGACCTGAACCAATTTCGGTCCCATAAGTTGTTGGGTTCCAACCTCTTCCCAAAACACTGGTGTCCACAACCTCCTCCCATACAAGGCCTCAAACGGGGCCATCTGAATCGTTGCTTGATAATTGTTGTTATAGGAAAACTCCATGAGGGGTAGGTGTTCATCCGAACAACCAGCGAAATCCATTACACACGCCCTGAGCATGTCCTCTAATACTTGATTCAACCTCTTTGTTTGTCCATCTATCTGAGGATGGAATGTCGTACTGAAACGAAGTTAGGTGCCTAAGGCTTTCTGTAAACCATTCCAAAACTGAGAGGTAAACCTAGCATCGCGATCAGACACAATGGAAGTAGGCACGCCATGCAAACGAACTATTTCTCGAACGTATAACTGAGCCCATCGATCCACTCGAAATGTGCTTTTACCCGGGATAAAGTGAGCTATTTTTGTGAGTCTATCAACAATGACCCAGATCACATTAAAACCTCGTCGAGTCTTAGGCAATCCTGATATGAAATCCATACTCACTTTCGCCCATTTCCACTAGGGTTTTGGTTCATTATATACCCAAAAAAACTTGTGTTGAACAAGCTCTTAATCCTCTTTGGGAAAGTAATTTAAGGTTAATATCCATGCAAAAGATTAAATGTTATGAGAGTTTTAATTTAAGGTTAATATCCATGCAAGAACATGTGAATGCAATGACGGGACCTATTCTTTTAATCTATTTTAACGGTACTGTACTAACGGGTAATTTGGGCTATATTCTACACACAACCCATACATGCGAGTATGGGCTCACTAGTCGGTTCACACACCACTGAGCCACTTGCCTTGGGCGAGCATACTCTGGAAGCTCCTTAGGTCGAACACTCGTTAGAACTAGTAACCGTCACGACAACGGTATGTAAAACATAACAATCATTGTCTTGCCATTGGATGTACGCGTCTGTACCCTCGTGATTGAATAGGGGTATTCCCCTAAATGCATGAGCACACATAATGCATGAGGCCCCCAACATTTCTAGTTTTGTCATTAATGAATATAACCCTGCTATCATCTTCCATGCTTAACATGTCATTTCGCATTCTTAACTTTACGCATCATACATAATCCTAACGGGGTTACATTTCATTTCATTTATCGTGATAGCATGTCATTCATAACATATTGTATATATACAATTTAGAAAACATAACATAACACTCCATGCTTTTAACATGTCATTTCATAACGTGCAATTCATTCAACAATTACCTTCGTGGTCACACAAAAAAATCTAAACATAACACCTCACATCACAATATATTGTTCATAAACATGTCATATCGTAAACACTTCGTGGTCATATCGTTCCTAACTTATCGTAGCCTAAACGTTCTTATACCTATCACAGTCATATCGTTACGTGAACGTACCTTAGTCATATCATCACAGGAACTTACCCTAATGCTATCGTTCTATCAATCTATCACAAACTTATCCCTGTCTACCCATATCCTAACCATATTCTTTCATCAATCTCTCCTATCCATAGCACTCCGGTATGTAATCTAACCTTAACGTTTCATGAACGTATCTTACTCCTATCGTTACATTTTGTTTTGTGCATCCTTCTTGTATCCAATCTCAAACATATCCTTAAACACATCGTACCACAATTAGTATCATACAATTCACATATTATAACATAACATAAACATAATATAAGCATACTGATTCACAGATAATTCACACATATCAGTATATATGACACGTGCAGAACCACAGGCACGTGTCAACATCAAGTATAACCATGCCGATAGTAAGACCACTTACCTGGTTAGCTTAAGTTGTTGTCCCGAATATATATTTAATGAAAGTTAGATTCTGTCCTTTGAAATTCAAGTCAACCTATGTGAGCCAATGACATCAGTTTCAAGTTTGAATTCTATAAAATTATTTCTCTAATTTACACAGTTACATTGTTAAAAGTCTTGAAATGATTTTCTATAATTATATTTTTATTAAAAAAATTTATTTTCCATGGTTCTTGTAGTATAAAAAAAATAGATAGAGTTATTTCAAATTATTCTGTGCTTTACTCCCATATGTATTTATCTTTCTCTCTATATTTAGTTTGTGGTTTTTAATTTCTAAGGCTTACTGTTTTTTATATATGTATTTACTATGTTGCCTTTTAATTTTGTTCTCATGTATAACAAATTTATAGTGAATCCGTGTTTCCAAATCTTTCCTTATGTTTACTGTTCACAAATTTTCTTGGTCATTCTATTTTTAATCTATTCATTTGACTACTGATATAAATTTAATCTTATATTAGTGAGATTTACTAGAATTCGTATAATGATTGACACTTAATTTCTAACTCAGAGCTAAACCATTGTAATAATTTAAGATTTACTAGAATTCGTATAATGATTGACACTTAATTTCTAACTCAAAGCTAAACCATTGTAATAATTTAATGAACATCTAACTATAATTGACTATGATTTCTAAAAAAAATAAAAGAAAATGTATTTATTAAATCTATCTTCAAGTAAATCTACAGAAAGTCTCAACTGGGTAAAGACCATTCTCATTTTTTTACTCCAATCTGTTGTTTTTCAGTTTTCTTAAAGATGGCTTAAGGAGAGATAATTGTGGGATGGGATGAGATGTTAGTGGAGAGGAGTGAGGAAAGTTTTTTTTTTTGGTTTATTTATTTATTTATTATTATTATTTTAAATATTTTTTTATAATTATTTTTGTTGGCTTATATCTTTATTTATTATTTATTTATTTATTATTATTATTATTATTATTATTATTTTTCTATGACATTCGCATAACCATCATTTATTACATAAACTTCGAAAAACGCTTAAAACAACTATTCTCTAGAAAACACACCCATGTCCTTACGTATTTAAATACGAAATACTGAAATTAAGAGAAAATAAGAGAAATACAAAATAATTTAAAACAATGAAATGCATAACAACCTATTCTAACCTAAACCTAGAAATTTAAATATGAATCTACCCTATCCACGTGCCACAGTCTCTGCTCGTGAAGCAGCCGTCCTCCGTAAAAGTGCACCTTGCCTTGATCTGAAAAATAATGTGGCACACGACTTGAGTATTTCAAAGAATGCTAAGTAAGTGGCCCCACTATAGGGAGCCATGCAAATGAAAACACAAACAATCATTATTTAGGGACCTATCTATCTCTATCATCATAGGGGTGGCCTCTAGTCTCGGACAAAGAGAGCACATGAATGAGTAAAGATGACATTCGAAGAAAAGCAATCCAGAGTATAGATGAATGAGAAAATCTGAAAAAGAGTTGAAAGTTACTACCTATATCAAAGAGGTGCACTTTCCTTTTTGGTGTTTCAACTATAGGAACTCCGAATTCAACTAGAGCAATTTTATGATGGGTGACCTTTTGAGAATTTTTGTAGCAAACACGTGATTGAGGACAAAACGTGTTAGAAGGACTCATGTTGGTTTGCGTTCATAGTTTTTACTATTAGAAGCGAGGAGTAAGTAACCTGACCATATCGTCACGGGAATCCTAGGGCCATTAAGTACCAAATTCATATTTCGAATCTTGGGTATGAGTCATTGCAATTAGAAGCTCAAAACCCGACCAAATTATAAACATTAAAAGAATTCTGATATCCCAAAAGATTCCTCTCAGTACTGTAGATTTCAAATATACAAAATCTTAGGTCTATAAAGAAACCCAACAACACTATGTTGAATTACTACATGGGTGAGCAATCCAACATAAAAGAATAAAAAAGCAGGTTTTTGTGGTTCGGGGATTTTATTTCATTTTTCCCAAGGGTGTATAATTCAAAGATACCCGAAGGAATATTTCTCAAGTAAAATCCATCATCAAATGCTACATAAATGCAGTTTTTAAAGTCACACCGTGGAGAAAGCTAATACTAGTTCCCGGGCCAAAATCCTCAAATGAAGCATGTCCATTCTAACCATTAAAATTGCACCAAAATAAAGTCGTACGCCAAAAGTTCATTGTGAAGCTCTAGTTGAATCGGGCATGCTTGTCCAAAATGCTTTCGCTCAAACGTCATCTCTTGACTTGCAATGAACATTTAAAACTTAGTTTGTTTGATAATTGTAGATAGCCACTTGTCATTCGCTCCATGGTTCTTGCCCTTTGCTCCCTATAGCTTGTATCTTGGATCCTGCAAAACGTGTATTAATAATAATGGATCCTTCAATTTTTCTTTAGATACTCGAGGCTCTTTTGTTGATGCTTAGCCATTTAGGTTTTTGTTCATTATACACCCAAAAAAAAGTTGTGTGGAACAAGCTCTTAATCCTCTTTGGGAAGGTAATTTAAGGTTAATATCCATGCAAAAGATTAAATGCTATGAGAGTTTTGAGTTTGGATATCCGTATGTGTCGCATAGTTATAAATATCAATTCTTTTTTATTTGCTATTTTTGATTGAGATGAAAAACAAAGCTGTCCTAATTTTAATTAAAAAAATAAAGGAAACCACAAATGAGACTGTTTGATTTTCTATATTTTCTCCTTAATTAGCACAAATTATCTCAAGCACATTAAGCAGTGTTATAAATGGTTCTCTTGACTATATTTATCATATTTTCTTCCCATTGAACCGAAAATAAAAATAAAATAGATAAGACAGAAAGAAAAATAGATAAGAAGTAATACTCGAATTTTTTTATAAATAAATAAATAAATAAAATAACAACATATGGGCAAAAGGGTCTCTTACAAAGGGTCTCTTAGAAAGGGTCCAGTTGTTTGGGCTCTAAAAAGAGGAGAAAAAGAAAGAAAAGAAAAAGAGAGAGAGAAAGGAGAAAGGAGAAACGAGAAGAAGTTAGGGTTTGGGAGAGAGGAATAGTAGAGAAGACAAATTGTTGTTGGAGATCTAATCCAAGGTAAGAAACTTCGAAGCAATACTCCTCTCGGTGCTAGAAAAGAAGTTTGGGTGGTGGATCCACTCATTCCAGCAAAAAAATCTAAGAACGGACAAAGTAAGATTCTAAACTTCGTGTTTCGATTTTATCTAGATCTAAGAAATTTCATGAGCATTAGATCTAGAGTTTTTGAGGTATGTAACTAAAATAAGATTCACACAGGTCTTTTGAAGTTTCTGGACGAAAATTGGAGTTTCAAGAAAACGTTATTTTCGGTAAGAACTCGTGTTTTTCCCCAAATTCGAACTCAAATAATAAGACCTGTGATTACCAAAAAAAGAAAAATATATTGTAGAAATAGAATATGACATCTATAATACTCGTGAAGAGAACTTGTTGATTCGGATTATGGATTGGAAGATATAAAAATCAGAAGAAAATGGATCGAAAACACCAAAACTCACGTTTCTGGAAAATTGGAAAAAAAACGCAAGAAGAGAGAGGAGGAATCGCTGCCACATGTCGGCCGACGTACGGAGGAGCGCTGCAGGATCGACGAGCGACACGTGGCGACCGCGGGCTGAAAAAGCGCATCAGGCGCCGTGCAATCGGGTC